GCCAAGGTGATTTGCCTTTCTGTGCCTCAGTTTCCCTCACTCATAAAACGGACCTGTAGGGCTTTGACTCACCACAGCTGGGTGATGCTGAAGGCTTAAATGAGAAACACAGCAACATTTCCAGTGTGCTGCAGCAGAAACACATAGCTTGTCATCTCTGCAGGTCCCAAGCCATGGCCAGAATGACAAAAGGAGAAACCGTATAGCAAATTATCTGCTGAAATTTTGGACTTTGCCCCTGCCAAAAGGCTGCTGCCATTACAGTGACTTGCCATTTTTCATTCCCCCAGGCTGATCCCAGGGATATGCAACCAAGCAGGGAGCTTGCGGCCACAAGAGCGCATACCTTCCTAATAGCTGCCTGGGGCTAAAGAAGATGCATTGGAGCACAGGGGAGCTTTGAGATAAGCAAACGAGCGATTCCCTGGCCTCATCAGCAAGCCCCAAACAATTCAATTTCCTTAAATTTCTGATAAATGTGGGAATGAGCAATGGTAAAGTGTTATTTGCTCCTCAGGAGGGAGCCAACAGCAAGACCCCTGTTTGGAAGGCACAGCAGCCCTGCCTTCATCTCGGGGTCTGGTTTGTCATGTCCTGTCCCCTCAACACACTGTAGGATACGGGTGGATCCTTGAGACATCCCTATCTTTGGAAAATCAGCCCAGGGTCCCTGGAGCTGGGCTGGGCAGAGCCCTGGGGTGAGAAGACAACCCGGAGTACGTGTGGAGGAGAACCAGAAGGAACCCTGTGAGCAACCTGCCGCAGCCCCAGGCGTGACTGGGGGGTGCATAGCAATAGCAGAGAAATGTCTCAGCCCTTGAATTTTCCAAGGGCAGCAGCAGGACTGGCTTCTCTAGGACTTCTGATCTGCTGATAAAGCCTCCTGCTCTAAACAGCTAGGTGTTTTGCTGGGCTTTTGCTGAAAGACAAGCAACAAGCAGGCAGCAAAGATCGCAAGATTTGCCTGCTTTCCTGGATAGATTAACATGGAATCAAGTCATGGGAAACCCAAAGTTCACTCTCATTTTTATTTCTTCACAAGCTATTCCTTTTTTGCCGTAACAGGATTAGATTGCTTTTATAGGGACTTCTTATGGGCAGGTCCCTGTCGTGCCACTTGCTTGCTGGGTGCAGTGGGAGAGTCCCTGCCCCACGGAGTTCGCAAGCAAAAACTAGCAGGGTTGGGAATGCGATTATCCCACGTTGCAGGTGGGCATTTGGCCGTGGAAAGGAATCTGGGAGACAGCCGGGAACTGGCCTTCAGTCTGGTAGAGCTCAAGCCAGCTCTGGCTTGTTTTCAGGGTAAATGACATTATTCTAGATCCAGGGCAAAGAGGAGGGCATTCCTGCGCCGGTGGGTATGTATTCCTGAGGGTGCTCCACATTCCTGAGCGTGGGTCCCTTGTGGGTGCCTGCATGGGACCCAGCACCCAGACAGGGTCCCTGGAGGGGGGGGACACCGCCAGACCCCTGCGGGGCTGGGCTTATAGAGATGCTACAATACACCACTGGCTCACAGTTTTAAAATTTCCTTCAGGAGTAGCTGGAGTTGTGCAGCTGTGAAGCCAAATAGCTTTTATGCTTCCTGCGGGGTGGGTTTGTCAGCCATCCAAACCTGGCATGGGCTGGGAAGCTGCTTAACTTGGGACCTGCAACCTTCCCCATCCTGCAGCATCTGCTGCCAGTCTTTGGGTGTTTCTACCTCTTCTGGTGTCAAAGAAATTTTGGAAACGGCCCTGAAGGCTCAATAAAATGAATGCTGTGTTTGCTTTGTTTTACAGTCTCTCCATTAAACAAGGCATTGGAGGTGGAAGGCATCGAGCCTGGTTTATTAAATGGATGTTTTTAAGCCACAAATGTGTTTTGCTGGGTTGTTAATGACACTCGCTGAAAAGAAAAGAGCAAGGAAGCGAGGGGGGGCCATGCCGGGCAGCTCCCCACATCCCCAGGACCTGGGGTCCCGCGGGGTGGGAATGGATGTCAGAGCTGGGGCATCGCCGGAGCCCCTGGCTCTCCCGCTGCGGGAAGGGGGACTTGGGGGACACCCCGGTCCCGTGCAACCACGTTCCCCAAGCACCGCGGCCATGCTGGGGAAGAGGTTGACTCATCGTTTCTTCCTCCTGGGCCGCTGTGAATGTTTTGTGGCTGAGTCCCCTTCCACGCCCTAAAGGGACTGTCAGGTTCAAGTCACCGTGCCCCAAATTCCCCGCCAACCTCCGCGCGGGAGAAAGAAAGAGGCACCTCCTTCCACCCCTGCCCGCAGCAGGATTTGAATAACCAGGTGTGAGCATCAGCCTCCCTCGTTAATACGTTTGATAATTGACCAAGCCGCTCATTCCTGTGGGAGGGCGGCGTGCCCAAAGCGCAGCGCCCTGCGAGGAGGGGCCGCGCTCGGCTGCTCCTCGGCTCCCCGAGAGCCCACGGCTCTGCCTGCCGCCATGCCTGCCCGCTGCCTCCTCCTCCTCCTCCTGGGGCTGCTCCTGGCCTTGGAGCCTGCCTGCTGCCAGGAAGGTAAGTGCAGGCAGCTGCCTGACCTCCTGGGGAACCTGAGGCAGGGGGGAAAGGCAGGGAGGTGCGCCGAGATGCGGGCAGGCGGGAGCTGCTCCGTGGGGTGGCTCTGGGGACAAGGGACAACCATGGAAGAGCCTCTTGGGAAGAGAAAAAACATCCCAGCTCCTGCCTGAGGTTTCGCTCCGGCTTCACATCAGCGGGCGATGGGGACGGGTGGGTGTCCGGTGGGTTGGGAGGTCTTGCCAGAGCCGGGGCACGGAGACTTTCTACCTGTTTTGCCGAAGGCTAAAACTGCCGTCCGAGGTTTATTTCTCCTGCTTAGACAGAGATAAAGCAGCTCTGATTTACCTCTGGTAGGACTGTGCACCCAGATGAGTAATCTGTTTTCTTAAGGCTTTTTTTTTTTTCTGTCTTTCTTCCTTCTTGCTCTCGTCCCTGGGTAAGCATCACTCCCCAAGCTCACAGGTTTTCCTGTTAATCTGTAATTTTGATCATTGCCGAGGGTGAGGGAGCAAATATTTTCCTCTGCGAATTGCCCTCCCATTCCCTTCCCGAAGACTGAATAGAGAAACTTCCTATGGCCAGGGCATTATTTTTAGGAACTTTGTGGAAGGACTTGTCTAACGCTAGAAATAATGAGGAGTACTTAAAACTCATCTGATGCTGCCAAAGTCCTGGAAAATTCCCTCCCCCTTCTCCTTCTGATGCCCCAGCCCTGACCGCTCTTCCTGTATTTGTTTACCAACTTGCTGAGGATTTAACAGTCTGGGGTCTCCACTGTCAGCAGGATTGAAAGTTTTGCTGTTGCCTGGAAAGAGAAAAAAAAAAAAACCTTTAATGACAGTTCAGAGCCTGGCAGAGCTTCCTCAGAGACTGGAAAACACAGGGGCCAGCCTATGCTTTCCAAGCACTCAGGGAAAATGTATCAAAAAGCAGATCTGTGTCTTCAAACCAGCCGTTGAGCACGGAAACGGAGCTACAGCACGTGCAAGGGCTTATATTGGCCTCAGCACTTCCCTCGGTCTCATTTGTAGCTGCAGATGCACAGACACACGTCTGTCGACGTGCAGACCCCACGTTGCTTACTCTGGCTTAGAAGATCTTGCTCGGGAGGGAAAAACCCATCATTGCCGTGGGGCGAAATGGAGAAGAGGTGGCAGAGCCCAAGGAACAGACTGTCCTGGGAGGGACATCCCTGGTAAAGAATTTTTCCAGGAACACAGTCCTATTTCCACAAGTGAGACTCATCCTTTTGGCCATCCCTCCTGGCAGGGCAGCAAGGTGTGCTCCAGTGGGACTCCAACCAGGCGGTGCCCCCCAGGGCTGCCATCCGCATACTCACTCCCGGAGAAGATGCTATCAAGCTCTTGCTTCAGCCTGGTTCCCATGCCTCCTTTCTTATGCCCACGCAAGTTCCCCATGCCCACGGGGGTATTTCAGCCTGATGTGGAGGCATTAGCTGATTCCCCTGCCATCTTCGTCTCCCCTTGCAGCCAGGCTCTATGTGGTCTCTCAAAGCCAGAACTGCTTGGTTTTGGTTTGATAGTTTTCCTTTTGGCTTTGGATGCTCTGAAATCTGGTGGAAACAGCTGTCTGAGTAAGGTTTGGTTTGCAAAACCAGACAGTACCTCCTGAGCAAGGCTGCTCAGAAGATGTTTCCTACCACTTATCTTCTCACCTCCTTTGCTTGAAGATCACGAGATGCAAATTCGGCGATTTTAGTCATCGCTGACTTCATTCCCCGGCTGACCTTGAACTCCCTTAACTCCAGCAGAAACCTCACCGAGGGCTGGACCCAACCATCCCCTCCTAGGCTTAGGCTGGAACCCTTGGCCCTGGCAGGAAAAATAAACCACAACTAATAAATAACTGTGGCTGAGATAACAGCCAAGGGCAGAGCGAGGGAGGAAGCAAAACGGGCCAAAGCTCAGCCTGGAGGCAATCGGTGTGTTTGGGGCTGCACCCACAGGGGTGGTGGGCAGCAGGGGCAGGAGCATCTCCTGCCCATCAGGTGGGGCAGGAGGGGACCAAGCTCTGCTCTTCCTCACTGCCACTGCCCCGCTGGTACCCCCACCAGCAGTTTGCTGATATGATGGGATTTCAGCCAAACCATGCTGATACAAGAGGGAATTTCTGCCTGAATTCCTCCCGCTTGAGTATTGGCCCTGGGACCTTGCAATAAACATGGCAAGTGTCTCTGCGGGGAGGTGGGGGGGGCTGAAGGCCGTTGTTCAGGGCTGCTCTCCCGGCTGCTCGCCCGGGGGTGCCACCACTTTCCGGACTGGCACAGACAGTGAATCAGTCGGCCAGGCTGATTTCACTTCCAAGAGGAAAAAAGAGCTTTGTTTTGGTTTGGCGTTTTTTTAAAAAAAAAAAATAAAAGCCTCTTGCAGTAAGGATTCAAGGAGCTGGAAGCCTTAACAAAGGACAGTCCCCCTCCCCAAAACCAGAGGAAGGAGATGAGGACTGTCAGCAGCAGCGGAGCCGGCATGGAGCTGGCTGTGGATGAGGAGTTCGCACATGTGGAACGTACAGCTCACCTTTATTGCCGCTAGTAAAGATTATTTGCTGTTTATAGCAGAGATTTGTCTCCCATGAGACAGAAGAAGTGTTCAGCTAGCATAAAGCTCCCCATTCAGAATGAAGTACCAATGCACTCATCCTGGGGCAGCTCTGCTTTGTGGGTGCCGGTGGCAGGGACTGGGTCCGAGGTTGATGCTGGGGCTGGCGAGGATCATCGTCCACCTGCCCCATCTGCCCACGCAGAGGGACCTCGCCTACATGCAAGGGTTGGTGTTTCGATGAGCAGAAAAGAGGAAAAGCCGTGCCTGAATAAAGTAGTAATTAAATCCTGAAGGGATGTGTCCGCATGGACAAGGTCTCCTTTCGGTGCTGATGTGAATGCTGATATTCAGGACAACACTTAAGGATGGGGTTGAATACATCTGAGTGCTCTGTTGCCCAAAAGCCATTGGGAGGTGAGGAACAGCCGCCCCAGCAAGGACTGGGACAAGGTTTCCTCTTCTCATCACCGTGCCCTTGAGATCCTCCCGCATCCAGGAATATGTCTCACAGCCTTACCGCCCGTGGCTGCATCACCACTTGAGCCCAGCTAGAGAAAAATGAATGTATGAAGCCATCCATCCCACCCTGGGGGAGCCAGGGATGCCGTGGTGAGCTCCCAATCACCCACCACCACCTCCCGCCAGCCCTGCCTGGCCTTTCACTGGAGGCTGTTCCTCTGAACACTTCGGCCTTCAATTTCCCATCATAAATCAGCTTGCTGCTCTGGAAAATTGTTGAACAGTAGATTTTACTGAAATCCATGCCAGCAACTGTTTGCTGTGAGAATGACACTGTCCCTGTTGTGGGATCCTTATTTTACTGAGCAGTATTTGGAATATAATGTGGGAACAATGTCTGTGGCATCTGGGGATGGAGAATAAACAGTTTGCTGAAGCCCCTCCACCTTCTTTCCCCTGCCACTTTGGGCAAACATCCTCCCTCCATGTCCCCCAGCCCTTTGTCCCCCCACCCCAGAGTCATCTGTGCCCCACTATGTACATATATATATATATATATATATATATGGGGTCCCGAAGCTGCAAGGCACCATGCTCCACATGCAAATGCCAGCAAAACTGCTGTTCTTTGCACTTTATTTCATTGCTATTGCCCAGGTAAGCCAGCCTGGATTAACAGCAACATGCTTTGCTCGACTTTGCAGGATGGAGCTTTTGGCTGGACATTGCTGAAGCTGGATGGGAGAAGCTTGGCGAAGCAGATAAAGCCTGAAGATGTATTTCTAACATGCGCCCTCTTTTTTTCTGCAGCCCGGGGCAGTCTCCAGCCATGGTCGCAGGGTGTCATCGCAGTGGTTGTGTTTCTAGTCCTGGTGGCCATCGCTTTCGTGGTCAATAGGTTCTGGTGTAAGGAGAAAGTGTAAGTGTGGGAGCCCTGGGGGGTGCTTTGGGTTGGGCTTAGCTGTCTCTGCATGGGTCATTTCAAGCCGCCTCTGTCCCCGTGCCAGGGCTGGGAACACCGTGATCACTACTCCAGGAGCCAGGCGGGGAGAGCAAAGACTCCCTGTCCTGGTCTCCGCTCCCTGTTACTTATTGCCAGATGCGAGCGTGCACCGTCCATCCCTGCTGCTCCCAGCACAGGGGCACCCCCAGGCAGAGCACTCAGATGCTGCCGTGAGGAAGAGCTGTGCTGGGGATGGGAGAGCTGCAGCATCATGGCTGGTTTACGTGGGCACTTGTCTCAAAGGGACTGACCTCAGCCTAGTTTCCTACAGATTTGGGGGTGCAGTTCCCGGGTGCATTGTATCTATGGGAAAACAAGCCCCAAACAGCTTAATTTGCAAAGCAGACTGAGCCAAGTCAGCAGAAGGCTCCGGGAAGAGCTGGGAGAAGAGAAGGTAGCTGAGCCGTGGCAGCACTCTCTGCCCGGAGCCCATGGCACAGGCGACCAAGGTGGCCTTAACCATCAGAAAAAAGCTCTGTGGGACCAGTTACCTCTTGCCCGCTGCTGGCTGAGCAAAGCCACAGGCTGTTGCTCCTGCTCAGGCTAACTGGCTAAGCTGCAGCAATATGATCTTGAACCTGAGCTCAAAGTTAACAGGGGATGAAAAGCAAAGGCGCCCTATAGCCCAGTTCCCAGTTCCTCTGCACTGGTGCTTTGCACCCAAAGTTGCTGGAGTCTTTTTGTATCCGCACATCCCTGCAGCCTCTTCAGGCTGAGGAGGTGGCGATTTGGGGTGTACCCCAAAGTTCAACAGGTCGGCTTCTGCCCCAGATGCATTTAAAGGGTGCCCTTTGGGATGCATTCAGGGCCAATGCATAGTGCAATGTGTATACATATATGTATTTATATGGCCTGATTTGCAACTGTAGTCTTTGTTTCCCAAAGACAAACCTTTGTCCTCAAGCTGGAGGAGCCCCCAGCCCATGGAATGGGAGGCAGGGATGGTGTTTTCCGTCTCTGCCCGTGCCCGGCTGCCTCTTCCCAGCCCAGAGGCAGAGGATGTTGAGAAGGGCTTGAGGCGGAGGATGGCGGCTTGTTTTAATTAATCTGGCCTCTCTTCAGAAGAGCGGGCAGCGAGGCTCGGCAGCCTGGCGCACTGCCAGCTCTGCGCTGTCACTGTGACAGCAGCTATCAGCTCAAACCGTTGCCTATTTATGCCAGTCTGTTCCTCGGAAAAACCTCTGAAATTGCCCTTGGGTGAGCGCTGGAGGAGGCAGGGATGTGCATGAAGGGTGGACCTGCACCCACCCTCCGCAGCTAAACCCCCCCCGGCGCCATTTGGGTCATGGGCTTGCTCCAGAGCCCTGCTTTTAGGCTCCAGCTAGGTCAAACACCTGGTCCCTGCCCCGTAGTTCCTTCTGCGAGTGATCCAGACTTGCATCTGAGAGAAAGCAGCTCGACTTTGCACGCATGGACGTGCACACGAGTGCCCGTCCTGCCCCAGCACTGCGGCACTGGCAGAGCCTCCACGACATTTCTCTTGGTGTCAGTTGGGACCCATAGGGGACTATTTTGCAACAGACTACCTAGGAGGAGACTGGAAAAACCAGTTAACAGGAGAAAACAATCCCATGTATTGACAAATGAGTCTTGCTGACTGCCAGCCGGTCACTGGGAGCACCAGCTCCAGAGACAGGGGCTGGCACTGGGTGTCCAAGCATGGTCCCTGCAAACCTGCCACAAGGGTGTCTCCCCTCGCTCATGTCCTGCTGGGAAGGAGGCTGAGCTGGCTGCCCAAGGCCAGGATCACACAGCCAGGTCCCTTATTGCCTCTGTAGTGTCGGAGCAGTCCCTTCCTCTCTGCCATCACCATTGCGAGCTACTCCCCGGCATGACCCCTCCATTGCTCTGTCTCAGCTCGTCCCTTCTCCCCCTTCCAGGGAAAATGTCGAGACAGCGGTGAGCGTCGAGGACAAGCAGGAGGCTGTCATGTCCAACGGCCATGAAGGGAGATACCTAACTGCTGCAGCTGACTTCAGGTGAAGGACTTGCTCAGACCACCTTCCCATGGCTCCCAGGCTCTGTTCCGTTCCCCTGGGGACAGCTCAGACGTGCAGAGCCATGGTTTCTCCTACTCGGGGTCTCACATGTCCCATGCATCTGGTGTGGGGGCTTTTATTCTCCACAGGGCTAAGGACAAGGCAATGAGGGAGTATCCCCTCCTCCCCAGTCTCTCCCCATCCCTGCAGTTGAGCCCCATGGTCCGTCCACCACCTTGCAACCTGCTACACCACATTTTTCTTACACTACATCACACCTTTCAAACAGAGGAAACCACCCGAAGTGGCCATAGGTCACCACGCAGATGCCGACTGTCAAAACAGCCCTCGCTAGAAATCAGAGCAATTCCCACCCCGCGCTTGGCTCTCCCCCTGGCAGAGGGACCCCTCCTGCCCTCCCCACCTCACCCCTCACTCAACCCACAGCCAGCACCAGCAAAGGTCAGGGCCCCAGTGGTGGCTTTGGGGTGGCTGGTCTTACTGTGGCCGAGCTCACCGCTGTGCTTCTCCCTCCTGACGCAGGTCCAAAGAGAGCCAGCACGCCTATGAGAACACCCTGGAGCCCGAGGAGAGGGTGATCACCACCGCCATGTAGCAGGCGCTCCGGCCGGTCGACCTCCTTCTTCTTCTCACTTTGCTTCCCGCTGTTGCGATGGGCATTTTTGCAGGGACCCTCTGCGCTGGCATCCCTGGTGTGCAGTGGCTCCCCGACCTCTCCACGGCACCACCACCTCCTGATCTTTTCCCTTCCCACCTGCGGGACGTGCTCTTCGGCCTCGGGGGCTGGTGTCCACGCCGGCATCGGTCCCCAGGAGAGGTGTGGAGGTGCGACCTCTCCTGCCTGGCGGTCACCCCACCTGGTTGGCAAGGCTGACGTCCCCAGTCCCAGGGGGGTGCTGACCTGCTCCAGATGTGGAGGGGTCCCTGCTGGGTGCCCAGGACCTCCCCACACCCCCAGCCACTCTCGGGGGAGCTGCTGATGGAAAACCTGCTCTCTTCTCCCTGTTTCACCCTCCTTTTTACGTTCTACACCATGCATTTTAATGTTAGAACAAACCTCCTCCCCTGTATATATCTTCCCTGTGAGCAGTAAAGAGAATTGTTGCCCCTATGACAGCAAAGAGGGTCGTTTTGCTAATCACCCAAAGGACTTTCTGGCATCTCGCAGCACTCCCGGCCTTCGGGCAGTTTGGGAAGGGAAGGACACGGGGAAAGTGACGTGGGGGTAGGAAGGGTGCTTAGACAGAGATCAGCACCCCCATCTCCCCCGTGATCCCTCCTGGGTAGGTTCCATCTCTTACTTCCTCACTTGGATGAAGCCAAGAGTGCTTTTGTGTGTGTCTGTGTGTCAAGAGGGGAGAGAAAAGGTGGAGCATTGTTTTTGCTCAGCATTTGGGCTGCCCAAGAACCACAAAGAACCTTACAGGGAGGTGAGCATCGTTTACCAGATGGGGAAACTGAGGCACGGCACCAACCCAGCACTTCCCAGCACTGGTTAACAGGTGAAAGGCAGTGCTCCCTGAATCCCACTGGCCACAGGGTGCAGACCCACAGCCAACTGCGGACCATTCCCAGGGCTGGAGGCTGCAAATGGCAATCACCTACTGGTGTTGCCAGGATGTGGCTGGGTGCTGCTCCAGGGCAGTGCTGGCTCTCCTTGGGGCAGCTGGCCATGGTGCAACTTGTTCCTGCCAGGCTGTTCATTAACCAGGGTCCATTTTTTGCTGTGGCAAGGACAGCGCTGGGGCCACCACGGGAGCAAGGAGCGCTCCCAAGCCATGGCGTTTACAGATTGAAATGAGAGACCTGTAACGCCGTGGCATTCCCTGGGACATCAGTTGCTCAAGCGGTGTGCAGGGTTGTCCCCTTGACCAGCGAGGAAAGGGTTAAGGGGCTAAGCAATCAAAGGCAGCCCAGGGGCTGCAAGTGGAGCAGGACTGGAAGGGATGGGATGGGGGGTTTATAAGAGGGGCATTTTTAGCAGCCCCTGGGTTTGGGGGGAGCAGGGTGGTTTGGGGTCTCTGCTGTGCTTGGGGTGGTGCAAATGCAAGGGGGAGGAGGTGGCAGGAGGAGATCAGGTGCCTGAGCCACCTCTTGCTCTCACTTTCTGCTGAGCATTGAGGCAAGGGGAAATGTTAGACTTGCTGTAAAACAGCAGCTGTGGAGGGTTTGGATCTGGAAGGTGCCCTGGCCTCTGCTCAGGAGGTGCTTTGGAGGCTCATTTGCAGGCAGCAGTGCCAGAATCGGGCAGAAGGGCGTTGGGGCTGGAGGTACCTCTTTGCCTCTCACTAGCAGAGCTCCTGCTCTGTGTGTTTCAACCCTGAACGGGCTTTCCTGCTGCAAGGGCTGTTCTCTGCTCCTCTGCGCTTGCCAGTGACCTTAGAAGCCCCAAGCCTGTCCTGGAGGAGGTGCTGCCCAGCACGGTGCAGGCAGCAGGCTTCTTCCCAAGGCAGGAGCTTGCCAAACACCCTGTTTTCCTACAGCACCAAACCTTGATGGCATTCCCCAAAGTGAAGATATGACAGTCCTGGTGGGGAGCTCAGCCCAAAATGGGCTGATTCCCACCACTGGGAACTCTCTGGGATAGAGTAGGGAACTGGAGCCGGACCCTGGTACCACCATTTGCCATGAGCCACCCTCTCAGTTCCCACAGGTGAAGCTGTTGATGTCTCTAGTGGGTGGTTACACAAAAATCTGGCCATGGGAGTAAAACAGGAGCCTTCCAGTAACAGACCCACCCTGAAAGGCAACTCTCAGAAAAGCCTCATATAGGCAAGTATTTCGAAAATTCCCTCAAGACTCGGCATTGAGAAATCACGGCTCCAGTTGAGGAAATTGCATGGGGTAGAAGAAAACAGGCAGAAGGGTTGGAGGGGTCAAGCCCTTGGGTTCAGAGGCACGATGGCTGCCATCCCCAGCATCATGTCAGAGCTGTTCCCTTCTACCACCTTCCCTTGGGCAGCTGGAGGCTGAGCCAGCCCCAGGCTGGGACCTGGACCTCCCCACTCGTGCCCCTGATGGATGCTGCTCCCCTGACTTTTCTCTCGCAGGTGCCAAACTTCACGCCGGTTTGGAAAAAACAAGCTCCCTGGAGTTCAGTGGTAATGCTTTGCTCAGCAGGGTTTAAGGAGGATTAGTCATTGCATGTTCCCGCCGCATCAGCACTTGGGCTGGGGGTGTGGCGAGAGGAGAGGAACCCATTAATTTTTACCTCTTGGTTGCAAAAGGAGTTAGAAACAGCATCCTTATAATGAGTAACAGCGGGAGTTTATTCCCTGCCCTGTGCACACCCTGAATATGTGACGAATGCCCTAGTCATTCCCCTGGCAGTGCCTGGATGCGGGTTTGGAGTGGAGGTGTGCTGGGGGATCAGTGGGTCCCTTTCCCCATGGATCTCTCCTGCAGTCGTAGGTCCAAGCAAGCAGAGGGATGGGGCTTTACCGCTGCACATTTTGGGCTAGCCCAGGAACCTTGATGCTTGGTCTTATCCCAGCCAGTGTCCCTTCAGAGTTCACTTTCCTGGGGAAAACATCTTTTGCAAGAGCCACTGTGTTACCTCACCAGTGGGACCTCACCTCCGCACAGTCTGTGATGCCGCCCTGCCTCAGTTTCCCTTGTCCGTCAAGCACGACCCAAGGCTGGCTGTGTGAAGCGGGCTGCCTTCCCGCGAGCCGTGCAGCTGGCTCATGGCTGCTTCTCGGTGCGATCCTAAAAAGAACAAAAGGAAGCGAGCATAAATGAAATTTATTGTTGGAAAATCTTAATTAGATTTTAAGCCCCAAAGGGAGAAAAGTGAGGTATTATCTGACACAGCTAATGAGTGTTAAGGGTCCATTGTTATATTTCTTGTTTACCTTTCTGTTCTGGCTGATACGGCCCGGATCCTTGCCTGTACTGCCATAATTAGGATATCTCATCTCTCGCTGATAGGGTCGGGGATGCTTTTTAAAGCACAATGCTGTCTCATCCCTCCCCGGCAGGATGAGCGTGATCGCGAAGGCAACTGCTGGCATCCCGATGCTTGCACCCACTGCGTTGACCCTGTGATCTGGGGGATCCCCTCCAGAGCCAGCGCTGTACCTGATAGCCCCCAGGTGATGGGCACCTCCGACAGCCTCAGTGACCCCTCTGAAAGGCCCTGAGCCAACTTGCCTGGGGCCCAAATCCTCCGAGCACCTCTCTCCATGCAGCACAGGGGTGACCGTGTCCTCCACAAGTCACCCCACACCCACCGGTGAAGGCGAAGGACACCCGTGGGTACCCCATCCTACCCCTCACTCCGTAATGCCAGTATCTCTGAAGCTTGGGCTTCAGGAAGACGTTCAGGGTTGGGACCTGCTGTGGACAGGAAAGTCTCCTTTTGGGCAGAAGATATTCAGGGTGGTCTTTTTGCATTACCACCTCGTTACAAGATGTATCACAGCTTTCCCTCATGGCCTAGGAGGGTGCAGCTCATCTCTTGGACCCCCAGATAACAGGGTGCCTTTACTCTGATGCCTCCCTGATGTCTCCTGAGGTTCTTTAGCCATGGAGGTTTAAGATGTTTCTATTCCAGCTGTGACCACAACCCTGGAGCAGCTTGGGCAGGTAGACACCTTCCGTATAAATTTTTCCAAGGTAGTTTAATTAAAGACCTGCTGTATGAAGGTAAACTGCTGCTGGAAGGACCACCAGCTCCAGCCCTGGGCCCGAGCAATGTAGCCCGGGGTTAACGTCCTGGCATTGGGCACCTTGACACCCAAGCGATGTGATTTGGATCTCCAGAAGCAAAAAGGGAGCCTGTCCCACCATTGCGGTCCTTTGAGCCAGGGAAGGAGCCCAGCCACCCAGGTGGGAGCCGGGAGCGTGGCACGTAGGGGTGGCTGTGTGTGGGCAAGGGGGCTGCAAAGTTTTTGGTCTCGATTCAAGCCACTGAAAGCCAGAAGTAAAATACCATCCATTGTTGGTTTATACACCCGTAGTAGCCAAACAAACATCCCCGGAGCCTGTCCTTATCGCTTTATTACACCTGCTAGAGTGAATAGATTAAAGAGGATGGGGGAGGGGGGAGAAAGCAGAAGAATCCAGCAGAAAAACTGGGTTTTGGGATTGTTAATTATTCTCTGGGGTCTCTAATCTTTAACTGGCAAACAGCATCACTAACTGTCTTAAAGCCCCTCCTGGAACATCCTGATAATAAGCCATCTGCATGAAGGCACCCCGTTATCTGCCCTCCTCCAGCCGCCTGTGACATGGCTGGAGTGGGAGATAATGAATGTGTGGTGTGTAATAACGACACGTCATTCATGATTATCGGCCTGATACCCAACCTTTTAGCTCCATTGTTTGTGCTTCAAAAAAAGAAGAAAAAAAATAAAAAGAAAAAGAGAAAATAAAAAGGAGGAGGGAAGGAAGAAAAAGGGGAATTTTTGGTGCTATGGGCTGTCCCGGGGTCCCCAAAGTGTCTCCTTGCCAAAGGGGCTGGCTCTCGTAGCATCTCCCAGAGGGTTTCGTGGTACCCTGCAAGGACTCGCCAGTGGATTGGTGGCTGTTGTAGCCATGGTGATGGAGGGAGAGTTGAGACGGCGCAGAAATGTCGCTGACTGGCAGGGAAACATTTGGGGCAAATGCTTGGGCGATTAGATCTGTGTCACTGGGTGCTGCCCGGCTCCTTGCGCTGCTTTTTGCTGCTCTTGAAGCCGTTTAGTGGTGGCTTGGCAGAGGAGGTTATCTCGAACACATTGCTGTCCAGAAACTGCCAGCATTTGAAGGCAGGAGGGATGTCTGGGTTGCCCGGTTTGACCTGGATAAGCTGAAAATGGGAGAATTTTCTCCTGGTTGCCACTGCGTTATGGCCCTGCAATGCATTGGTGCTGCGAGATCTTCCTCCAAAAGCTTTGGTTCTTCAAACTGCAAACCTGGGTTAAGCGTGATTCTTAACAAGGACGAGACTTTAAACTGTTTGGCTCAGGTTACCTCAATTATTATCAGAACTGCCTAGAAAAATGATCGGTTTTTTTGCATTAAAAAATGACAGTAGTTTCTCCTCTCTTTCCCGAGAGGATTTCCCAGAGTGGTTTCCCCAGGCAAGGTCTCCGCTGGAAGTGGTTGGGGTTTGGCCATTTGTAAGAGTCAGAAGGACTCTTGGAAACCAAACAAGCAGCCTCGGTCATGGCAGTGAGTAGGGTGATGGCCTTAAAACACAGGGCTGGAAGGCCAAGCAGGGCATCGTACAGAGACAGGGATGGGCAGCAGCTGTGGGTCCTCATCAGTTCTAACTTTTCCTGCTCTGCCCTTATCCTCCCATGCCCAAACTGGAAGATGCCGTAGGGACATCTGCAAGTGCCACCTAGTTTCCTTTGCAACCCACCACTAAGGAGACTGGGCTGGGTCTTTGTGGCTAAGCGGTCCCCAAGCTCATTGCTTGGACCGCAAGCCGGAGAGTGGATGAGCAGAGCTGCAAGGCGGCTTGCTTGCTCCCAGATGGGTGGCTGAAACGTCTGACAAATAGGGCCAGTAACGAAAAGCTGCATCAAACTGCTGCCCTCCAACGGCCTTGCTGCGCTGGAGCTGGGGAGGAGGACAGCTGGAGTCCCACGTTTGAGACCAGCCTGGGTCCAGCAGTGATGCAAGGATGGTGGCATCAGCACCCACACAGCCTGCACCCAGTCTCTTGCTGGGGTGAGAAGGGGAGGGAGTGGGGAGAAGAGGAACTCCGTCTCCAGCTGCCTTGCAAAATAAATACAAGCTGCACCTTGCTGGTTATTCACAGCATCCCTGTCCTGTTAGGTACCAAGACAGCCAAAACGAAGATCTGGATCCAGCCCTAGAGGAGTGTTGTTTCTCAAATTGAGGATGCAGCAGGCGGCGGACACAGGGAGTAGGGGGCTGCGGGGGTTTATTCAGATGGGGAGATGCTCAGATTTGGCTGTCCTGGTCTGGCCATCAGCAGAGGTGAGCTGCCCAGACAGATGGACAGGGTTTGGCTATGTTAGTGCCTGCAGTGATGCTGGTGATGCTATCATCTGAAAGCTGGACAAACAGCCTTGCCTCTCACCATGGCATGGCGCGTGTGCAGCCCTCCATGTCTCAGTTTCCCCTGATGCCTACTGAATGCCCCATGGGAACTCGGAGTGACAAGCTTTCCCTGTGCTGTGAGTAGTACCACCATCATGTGGGGACCGTGACGGAGCAGTGCCCGCTCTGCTGCCCCGCACAGCTGAGGGTGGGGATGGGGACTGGGATACTCCCAGGGATGGGGCCCATCAGCTGCCCTGCTGGGCCTGGCCATGCTCCCTGCCAAGCCCAGGGGGTTTTGCCAGGGACCAGGGAAGGCTCTGGGTTTTTCTGGGTCTCCCACTGCCACCTAGTGATCCATTCCCCACCCCAGACCTGCAGCTCACCCAGGTGGTCCCCCTTGGCCTGGGAGCCCACCTATGGCTGGTGCTGGGACGAGGGCCTGCAGCAGGTCCCTGCACCCCCAAAACGAGCCCAGTGCTAGGGCCAGCACTCACCTGCACCCCTTGGGCAGCTCACTCATGTGCTGAGTGGTCAGTTCTCAGCCTCTGCAGAAAAGGGCTTGAGACGGACTCGTGCTCCCTCTTGGGACTTTTTTTTTGCAAGCTGATTTTGTTCTTGCCATCAGCATTTGGGAGGGGGTGTGGTGATTTCTGTTTTGCTTTGTTTGACCTCAGATCATTTCAGTTGCTTCCTTACCACAGAAACTCCCAGAGGCAGAGGTGAGGGCTTGGTGACCCATGGCACAGGAGGGGTGGAAACAGGCTCCTCAGCCTCAGCAGGGGGCAAACCCGCTGAAACAGCCCTTGCGGCTTGAGAAAACACTTGCAGGGCTGCACCCTTGGGCACAGCCTTGCCTATGGGCTGCTGGGACTCATCCTGTACCCCCCTGGCCCCCCAAATGCAAAGGAAGCCAAACCACATTAGAGCAGCAGCTCCACAAGGCTTTATTCTCATTTCAGCGAGGAGGATAAGGCTGATCACACGTCGTTTTCGGTGCAGTGAGTGCTTTCTCCAGGTTAGCTGGTGATATGTCTCTGCGCTGGCTCCCTGAGCACCCTCAGCTCAAGGAAGTTCAGTGCCGGGGCAGAAAAACCCACTGGCCTTCATCTCTATAATGGCAGGCACAGTGCCAGCCCCAGAACAGGTTAGGGGAAATAATGTGGAGGGTGGTCCGTGGGGATGCAGCGTGGCTGTGGGGAGGATCTCTCCTGCCCTGGCTCACCCAGGCTGGAGGCAGGGAAGGGTTGTGGTGCTCAGGCAGTGGCCAGGCTTTAGACAGCTGTGCGAACCCCGCTGGCGTTGTTCGCTGCCGTGCCCGAGCGGGGAGATGGCAATGGTGCAAATACACAGGTGGGTGACAGAAGTCCCCCCAGGCAGCGTGCAAGTGCAGGGTGGTCCTTTGGGAAAGCTCTTGCCCCCTGCTGTGGTACCCTCTGGGATCAGTGAATCTTCTTCAAATGCAGGTGGAACCCGTTCCTGGACTTGAGGATGAGCTGCTGTATCGGTGTGGGAGGCATGGACGGGTTGGGGCAGAGCTCGAAGCAGAGCAGGGTCAAGGCCAGCGCTACCTTTATCTCATTCATGGCAAACTGCTGCCCGATGCAGTTCCTGGGGAGAGGATGACAAATGCCACAATTGCTGCCTTCATCCCCAACCGCCCCCGAGCTGGACTCAGCCCATGTGCGATCTGGGGGACCTCCAGCTGCTGCGAGGATGATGCCACATCTTACCTAGGAATCCCCTGATGCCCCACCAAAATGCACCTAGCTCTGCTGTGGGGTATTGCTGGTTTTTTATTAATAAGCATTGAAAAAAGTTATGAGAAAGAGAGAACCAGGGCTTACTTCACTAGAAAGAGAGTTGCATGGATCCAGCTAAAGACCCAGACACCTCAGAAAGGTTATTTTTGGCTCTGTGTGGAGTATCCATCTCCTCTTGCAAGTTACTGAGACCTTGGTATCCTGCATTTGTGTATGGATACAGCATGGGAACCGCAGAGACTTGGACCCGGCTTGGCTTTGAGGTGCACTGAGTATTCACCCTGAAACAAGGGAGCCTGTGTTCCCAGTGCAGGCAACAGAAAATGTAAACATCTCCACAAAGCCACAAGAAAAGTGTGTGAAACTCTACCGTGACCACAGAGCCTGGGGTGTGGGAAACAGTCTGGAGCTGATGGAGCACGGTGGAGATCCTGTTACGGAAAGCCTGCCTGAGTTGGCCAAGCCAACTTGGCTTATAGGCATGGAGGGACGATTAGCTTCAGGAGCTCGGCTCTGAGCTAGGTCTCCCATGCAAGGCAACCTACGGGGAAGGAGAGAGATGAATGATGTCCCACCTGGATCCAGCAGAGAAAGGCATGAAAGCGTGGGAGTGCCTCTGTGCTGAGTTCTCCGGAGAAAACCTCAGGGGATCATAAATCTGTGGGAGAAACAAAGGCTGTTTGGTCAGTATTTGGTCTGATATGAGCAGCAGAAGGTTCTTTCCTGGTCCCCAAGGTAGGGCTGGATGTGGCCTCTGCTGCTCCTGGGGGAGCTGCAGCTGACAGGCATCTGTCTACAAAGCCACTGGGTGGATGAGAAGAGGACGTTGGTGTCTGTGTGGATCTTCGTCTTGGAGATACCCAGACGACCCACTACAGCACCCAAGATGCCTGCAGGTGTTTTATCATCCATGGCAGCAATGATCAAGTCAGACTCCCTCCAGCCCAGAAATACTTGATCCTGGGTCTCCAGACAGCCACTGGAGAGAGGCAGCTGTGCACCCCACTTCAGGTTTCCCAGCTATTTCTTTCCTTGAAGCCTCTAAGATATCAGCTTCAAATCACACACTGCCTGGAGGGCTTGGGACTTCTCATGCCACGCTGGGACCTAAGTCTATCCAGGGTAGCTGAAAGCAGTCTGAGTATCTCTGTGTCACCATGCATAAAGACAGACTATTCAACACCCTTTCCCAGCACTTTGTCACGTCCAAAGCCTTTGGGATGTTTGGTAACTTCATTGAACTTTGCATTTAGATATGGATTGTTGGAATAAGAGGGAAAAAAAACATGGCAGGGAGTCACAGGCTGCCTTGTTCAAGGGGAGTGGATGTCTGGGCTCAGAGATCATCTTTCTCTTCTTGTTATAAAGGTGAAATACCTCAGGGTCCTCCCACACATCCCGGTTCCTGTGAATAGCAAATATGTTCACTCCAACCTGGCAGCCTGTAAAAGAAAAATGAAAAAAAGCTCATGACACCTCAGAGTGAAGACCCAGGAGAGGTGTTTGCCTCCCTGGGGTCTGTAGGGGCTGTTGCAGGAGATCTGACAGGGATGATGCCCAGCCTGTCCAGGCAGGTGACCTCCTGAAACCTTCACATGGAAGAAACAATGGCCTCAGAGCTGGGCCCCATTTTGGTACCAGTGGGTGAACTTTTACTCTTGGTCAGGAAAAACACTTTGCAAGTCCCCTTTGAGCTCTGTGAACCCCCATAGTGCCCTGGAGCATGTCCTTGGACTCTTTCCAGCCACCCTTCTGGGCTCACTGTGATGGCAAGCTGTGGTGGCTCTGTACAGCTCTTTGGAGAGAAAAGAGAGACTGGAAGCCCCCCCAGCCCCCCGCCCCCCAGCAGCTCTAACAAGGATGCCCCACTTGTCACGGACAGCAGCATGAAAGATGAACAAACTCAACAGACCTGCTGGCAAGCTGCGTCCATCAGGAAATGTGACAGGTTTAGAGAGGTATCGGGACACAGAAGGAACCGGTGGGAATAGACGCAAGCTCTCTTTGATGCACATTGTTGTGTAAGTCATCTTCCCAAGGTCCTCCCTGAAAGCAAACCAGGGGGTCAGGCTGTGTTTGAGTGACAGCAATGGGGACACCAGCAGCCACAGCCTGTGCTGCACACTGGGTGGACTGGATGGCCATGTCTCCCATCTTCTGTTGGGGTTTCTCCTTCTCCTAGTCCTCCCTTTGCTGCCAGCACTGCTATGTGAAAAGCAAAATGCCCCAGTGCAGATGCAATATAAGGTAGATGAAGTTTCCTTCTCAGGATCATAGAATCACAGAAGAGTTTGGGTTGGAAGGGACCTTTAAAGGTCATCTAGTCCGACCCCTCTGTAGTAAGCAGGGACATCTTCAACTAGATCAGGTTGCTCAGAGCCCTGTCCAACCTGACCTTGAATATTTCCAGGGATGGGGCATCTACAACCTCTCTGGGCAACCTGCTCCAGTGTTTCACCACCCTCATTGTAAAAATTTCTTCCTTATATCTAGTTGAAATCTACCCTCTTTTGGTTTAAAACCATTACCCCTTGTCCTATCACAACAGGCCCTGCTAAAAAGTTTATCCACATCTTTCCTGTAGGCCTCCTTTAAGTACTGAAAGGCTGCAATAAGGTCTCCCCAGAGCCTTCTCTTCTCCAGGCTGAACAACCCCAACTCTCAGCCCTTCTTCATAGGAGAGGTGTTCCATCCCTCTGACCATTTTTGTGGCCCTCCTCTGGACATGATCCAACAGGTTCACGTCCTTCTTATGTTGTGAGCCCCAGAACTGAACGTAGTACTCCAGGTGGGGTCTCACGAGAGAGGAGTAGAGGAGCAGAATCACCTCCCTTGACCTGCTGGCCACGCTCCTTTTTATGCAGCCCAGGATACGGTTGGCCTTCTGGGCTGTAAGCACACATTGCCGGCTCACGTCCAGCTTTTCATCCACCAGTACCCCCAAGTCCTTCTTGGCAGGGCTGCTCTCAGTCCCTTCATCCCACAGCCTGTCTTGATACCAGGGGCTGCCCCGACCCAGGTGCAGGACCTTGCACTTGGCTGTTGAACCTCATGAGGTTCACATGGGCCCACTTCTCAAGCTTGTCCAGGTCCCTCTGGATGGCATCCCATCCATCAGGCATGTCAGCCACACCACTCAGATTGGTGATGGCTGCAAACTCGCTGAAGGTGCACTCGATCCCACTGTCCATGTCACTGATGAAGATATTAAACAGTACTGGTCTCAATATGGACCCCTGAGGGACATCACTTGTCACCGATCTCCACATGGACATTGAGCCATTGACCACTACCCTCTGGATGTGACCATCCAACCAATTCTTCTTCCACTGAACAGTCCATCCATCAAATCTGTATCTTTCCAATTTAGAGAGAAGGATGTTGGGGACTGTCAAAGGCCTTAAAGGATAAGTGAAAAGAGTTCAAAGTAAAGGAATAAGAAGTCCTAGCTCACCACTCAATGGTATCTCGGTCTCCCAAGATCCCCTGGATCTCCTCCCTGCACCGTTGCTGGTACTCTGGGTGTAATGACAGGCAGTAGAAAAGCCAGGAGATCCCGCTGGCCGTGGTATCATGACCTGCAAACATGAACGTGTCCACCTCGGCACGCAGGTCCTCATCAGATAGCCCAACTCCATTTGCATCCTAACAAAGAGGAGAGTATATCTTTCTTGAGTGCACATTAATTGGACTTGCTCCTTTGGGTATAAAAAGAACCCTGGATGATGATGAAGAAGGACCCAATTTGGTGTCTCTTGTATCTCCCTGTACATCAGGAAGCAAGCCAGTAGAAAATATATCCAATATATGTGAGACCTTCTGATTACTGACTCTGCAGTCAACAGAGCTACAGAGTTGGGCTTTGTTGGGATACCCATTCCCAGCCCTTCAGAAGGACACCCTATTTGATTCCCTACCACGGGTCCCTATTATGTTTTCCAGTAGTTTGATTTGGATGACTTTTGTTTCAGATTGAGACACAAAAGAAAGCAGAAGGACAGAGTGAGCACAGCATGTGTCTCCTTCCTGCACACCAAAATGGCAGCTTCTGTCCAGAGTATCTGAAGACGTGTGTGAAGGTAAAACTACAGAAGGTAAGAAACAAAATCTCTTAAGAGGACTATAGCCATGGTGACCTCCTTGTAACCTTTTCAAAGAGCCCATTCTTCTCTGGTTTCTGACAGCTCACTTGTTTTAAACTATTAATGTGCTCAGTGAAAATGAACAAGGAAGATGAAAGTCTGTCTGAGTTTTGTATGTTCAGTCACTACATCTCACACATTTGTATTTCCTTCCCTTTCAACCCACCTTTCCCTGAGCTGGGAAATCTGGAGTGGGGAAACTGTTGCCAGCAACTCCAGTCAGGGGTGATGAGCTCCCTGGTGATCCAGGCAGGTATGTTCTTTGGCATTTGATATGATTATTTCAAACACTCACCTTGGTACAAAGAAGAATGTCCAGAAAATCCAGGTGTCTCTTCTTCTGGATCTTGTCAAGTTCCTTCTCATTGGAGAGCAACCTCTTTCTTTCTTTTATTACCTTATCTGCGTAGAAGAATGATCAATCTGTTAGATGTGTCCTGCCCCTCCAGAGAGCTCGTGTAGTTGTCTGCTTGATCAGCAGCTTGGACTCTGTTGAATGTGTAACCCTCTGGCCAGTGCATGCTGCAAACCCTCTCCAAGCTGCTCCAGATGCAAGTGGGGGAGAGGTTCAGCTGGGAGGCAGGGCTGGCGAGAAAGGGGCAGAAATACCTGTGTGGGTGTGGGCCAGCTTGCAGGCATCCCGAAACTCACGGCCTTTGTAAGTCAAGTCATAGAAGACATCCTTGTAAGAAAAAGTCTGGATTCTATTGCTTATGAGGTAGCTCAGGTCATAAACAGCTCTGATATAATAGTCTGAGTTGCTGGAAGGAGACCAAGGTTAAAGCTCGTGTTAGCAACATGAGTGGGGAAACAGTAGCACTTGCTTTCCCAGAATTTGAAAGCTTAGGCACTGACCTCTGAGTCTGACAGTTGGTATTACAACTGAAGGCGCATTTCATGATGCTGTCTAGCGTCATCAAGCTGATGTCTTGAAAGATCTCCACTGACTTCCTCTCTGTGTTCTTCTTTTCCCATTTATCCTAGTGATGGAAACAGGGGTAAGGAGGTACAGACTACCATCTACGATCAGGTCATATTTTCCTGTCCCTCTTCCCAGATCCACACTGCTAATTAGTTTCTTTTCTGCAAGCAGAGGCCCTAGTTCACTATATATTCCGTGAATCTAATCAACTCCTCTGTGCATTTCTTTTTCCAGGTTTACCATTACTGGGCTAGGGAAGGATATTCTAGCAGTGATTGATTTTACTGAAAAGCAGATGGAGGAGAGAATAAGTGGAATGGCCAGAGGAATGTGAGTAGAGCAATTTCAGAACTTCAAAACTACCCCAAAAGTTCAATGAAATTCTAGGAACCATCTAAGTCCAATCTCTTTCCCTCAGTCATTCCCAGACCTGATTATTTTCGCTGGTGCACAGCTGAAAGGTAAAAGTATCAAGAGTGATGATTCTTACCAGCATCACTTTGACCGATTCTGACATCAGGGCCACATAAGATTTCAGCACATCGTAATGAAAGGCTGGTGTGAGCAACTTCCGATGCTGGAACCATTTGGTTCCCTCCAAGTTCAGCAGTCCCTGCCCTGGAGACACAAACAGCAAAGGCACAATTGGCTCCTCCAGACTCTGATCCCGGCTCTGACAGCCTTACTACTGCTCTTGGCCAAGCACAGACTAATATGCAGGATCTGGTGGAGCCTTTTCTCCAGTCTCTCTGAGGCCGTTCACAGCAGTGCTACTTGGATGGAGGAGAAGCGTGCCCACGTGTCCTTCACTGCAACCAGCTGTGCACACCTAATCTACCCTGAAACCAAACCCCTGATGGCAGAGGCACGGGACTTGCTCTCTCAGATGGGTTTTTCTGCCCCAAATGCAATACTTGGGTGCCTTTTGCAGCATACGCTGACAGTTGTTAGCAGGACCCTGGAGGGCTACCTCAAAGCTGCGTGCAAGCCATGAACCTCCCTGTCCTTGGTGTGTCTCACCCCAGTTATCCACGGTAGCATTCAGTCCCTGAGCAAACTGAAGGTTGCTTTGTGAAGGCCAGGCTGTGTGATCCAAGGCAAAGCCACCCGATGTGCTCCACGACTAGGTGGACATCACTGGTACTAATGCTCAGACTCAAACAAACTCTAATTTGCAAGCCCTGGTTTTAGAAGGGAAGAAAGCAAAATAAAGGAAGACAAGACAGAAGCTGCTGAAATGTGCAATACAGCTGAAAGGGATAATGGAAGAGAATGACTTACCGATCCAGGGAACTAAGAATTTGTAGGGTACATCAGACTTGCTATCTGTAAAACAAAGTAGATACCAGAACAGTATGAATGGCTAATGAATTCAACATAACAAAAAAGAAAATTCAAGATAAATTGACATTAGAGTTCGTCCTCTAAATCACAATGTGGAATTAGTCTGATTTCAATATGTAAAATACTCTAACACTAGAGGTGGAGTTTAAAAGCGGTCTTCTACATGTATGACCTTAGTGGACTGGAGAAAACCAGAGAAAGGTATAATGAAAACTGTGTGTGGAGAAGAAATGGCCATGGCAAATCTCAAAGTTGAGATCAACGGGTGGAAGTTACAGAGATGCCCGTGTACGTACCACTCACAGGCATCATGCTCCACAGAAGGGGGCAGAGGAGAAGACTAGAGATGTCTTCTGAGACCCATTGCCATGCCAGCTCACCCACATCACTGGGTTTACTGGCAAACACAGATGTTGTGGTGGTAGATGCCATAGAAGACAGCAAGGCCAATGATAATGGAGACAGTGGACTGGGAGGAACAGGCACATGGTCACTGTTTTGCATGAGAATACAAACTGCTCCGTGAAACCTGGGGCAGGCTGGGAGTCTGCCAAGGGGAGCAAAGGAGGAATTGCAATAGCTGTGAAAAAAGCTGGCAGAGGGGATGACTCCAGGCAAGTTTCCCATGATTCTCTCCGTAGGGAAGTGTCAGGAACATGACTTCCCAAAACCAGATGTAGAGACTTACCTGTTTGGCCAAATATGCTTTTGGCATATTCAGGATGGTGGATTACTAGGGAAGGCAGGACTGGTCCAAGCCATCTGGGAAAGGCATAGGGGTATTCTTCTCCCCATGACACGATCTGATTTAATATTTTAGTGGTATTTAACTGCAACGACAGTTAAGCAGGGACTGAATTCAGGCAGAAAAAGAAGGACGTGCTGGGGATAGCAGAGGCTAAACTTGCTGTCTTGTGGAAAGCACATGCAAGACGTCTTCTCCTGGGAAATGGGCAGAGAGTGGGTGGACTTGCCACAGGAAAGCTTTCTTTGTTGCAGGTGGAGAAGATGCTGGGCATGGCAAAGGGACCGTGCAGAGGTGGCAAACCTGCCTGAGCCACCGAGTCCCTGCAGCACAAGGCAGCTCCATGAAGAGTCCCTAGCTGGGGCCTGGCTGCAGTTGAGCTGTGTTAGGACAGCCTGGGCTCGGAGCAGCTTGATGTCATGCTTGGGAGCTACTGGTGGCATGGGCAATGCCAGGATGCCCAGTGAACAGGCCAGGGAGACCAAGGCTGTTGTTACAGCCCTGTTCTCCAAATTCAGCAGTGCAAGGTGGGCGTGCAAGGTGGGCATGCAACATGAAAGCAAAAACATTTGCACTACAGAAGGATGAAAATGCTTGCGATAAAATGCCCTGCTTTTGTGGTCATGTCTTCTTAACTGAATGTAGGGGGAGAGACTCTTATTGGTAGAAGGTTTAATGCAGAAGAGAGACATTTTATGGTTGCTCATATTTAATAATTTCATGAAAGTCCCAGAAATCACCTAACTCCATCTTTAAGCACATGATCCCAAACAACATGGCTCTGTTTTTTATCAAAACGATGTCCGTCTCATATCCAGGCACCCTTTCTGCCTGCCCTGCGAAAGTCTTGGCACTCCCTGTGCGAAGAGGTCCTCTCCTGTAGGAAGGAACACTAGCAGGGGACATGCACAGCCCACCCAGTGCCCCCTCACATCCTGACTGATATCTTCCACAGTTGTTGGGACAAACCCACCCTGACTGAGCCCAGCTACCTCCTTACCAGGTGATTGTGGCCATAGAGCCAGTGTTTCGGGGGACCAGGGAATGCCTCCAGAGCCTTGATGAGTTTCTTCCTCTCCTTGCAGAACTGGGCCACCTTCAGCAGCACGAAGATGACACCAAGCACCACAGAGAGCTGCAAAATGACAGCAGAAGGTCTGGCTATGTTGTCCAGCAGAGATGCCATGCTGGCCCTGTGCCTGAGATGCCTGACACTGCCTTGTCCTGCCTGCTCCTCTTCTGCTCCTCCCACGCTCGTGCCTGATGGGGAGCTAGTTGCAGGTAAAAATCCTCTCTCTCCTGCTCTGCTGGAGCTGAGCCTGGTGAAGCACTGCTGGCAGCAATTTATAGCAGCAGGAACATCATGGTAATCAATGCGTCAGCTTGGCCAGCAACCCGATTGCCTACTGCTCCCACTCACCCTTTGACCTGCTTCCAGCAACCTGTGGATGGAAGCGGCTTGTTAACAAACAACCTGTACATATTTCCCACTTTCTCTGAAGTCCCGTACGCTCCAGCAGCGAGTGAAAACACTCAGTCATCCATGCCCACGTGGACAAAGCCATAGGAGGGAGTAGGCGAGAGGTAGCCAGGCTCGGGCTCTAGCTGAGCTCCGTGCTGTCCTCAGCCAGTTCAGGCCTGGAAGCTGTTCATCTGCCCATGTGAAGTGAGGAGCAAATGGGCCACCTCTGCCCGACACACGGGTTGGACAGATGCAGCTGCCTTCAGCTGTAAAAGCAATGCTCTAAGGGACTGCAACATCACACAGCACCTGCTCTCCAAGAGGTCCTACCGTAGACAAGCCAGGAGACAAAACTGCTGCCCAGAAGAATTGCTGTGGTCAATAGATAAGTCAAGGAGAGGGAATGCAGCAGAGCAGTAAAATGAGCTGCAGCAAGATTGAGGGCATGTCTAAGCTGATAGGGAGGCATGATGGTAAGGTCATGTTCTCTCTGCAGTCCTGGTGAGTCCTCCTTCCCCTGCCTACACGGCATCTCACCATCCTCCAAAAAAAGCTCCACCTTACCGCATTTATCTCTCCAATGCAGTGCTTGGTTGGGCCCCAGGTAGGACCCCTTCTAGCAATCGCTGAGCAGATCCTGCCGGTTACCTGGGCTCACATCCCGTAGGCGCAGAAGCCTGGAATGGCTTGGAGGGACTTGCAGCGTTGGTGGAGGACTTGGCCTGGAAGCCTGCCACGTGTGAGTGACTTCCAGGCTAATCCGAAGAGGAGGATCCCTAGATGGGCTGAAAGCATTTCTCATTTGGGATATTATGAGGATCAGATGGGTCATCAGCTGCTGAACCTGGCAGTCTGATGGGCTAGTACATAGGGACTGCTGAATTTTGTGGGTGTTTCTCTTCAATTTAACATGTCTCCGAGACAAGGGTCTTCTGATGTTTGGCCACTTTAGTTTTTAGTCTAAATTACACCATGGCCAATTGAAACCCATGTTTTCTGCTAACAGAGTCATTTTACTGAAAAAACTACTGTTTATCTGGTATTCATTGCTGACATGTATCCTTTTTATAGCAACAGAGACATGGAGTTTGTTGGCTGAAGTGAATCTGCACAAGCCCAATGAAAAGATTTAAACTTTTTAGACAGAAAGAATGTATGAAAAAATCTTACAAGACCCACTCTCTGGGAATTACCTGACTCCACAAAAATGTCTGCAAGTTAGTGAAGTGAGTAACTTTTCCCTCAGGTGGCTTGTGGCCTATTAATTAATGATTGCAAAGATGAAGTCCTAGGTACAATTTGTATTTGAGTCTCAGGGAGGTGTGAAACGGCTGCTACAAACCCATGCAAGGGATTGTCGATATATGGCTCATCTGTTGTTATATGTTGCTCATTGCGAACAGGCTGAAGGTCACGGTGTATGCCAGTTTGGCTGTAGCATGGGAAGGTGCCCAACTGTGAAAGCTGGACTTATCCTGTCCTCTTCGAGAGAAAAATCAACAGACGGCAGAAATGCTTCGATGCGGTGCACGGCACTCCTCAGGAAGAAGCGTTGTTAAAGCAACTCCCTTTTCACCTGAAATTTTCACACGCAACTTCTCTGAGCTTTCAACCCCTCTTGGGAGGTCACAGTGTAAAGCCCCCTAACTGAGGGCATTTGAGGCAGTTTTACTTTGCATCTGTGCAAATTCCCTTGCTGAAATGCACAACCTAATTCAGCAAGGCTTTTTTTTCTCTTTAGGGGTGTGTAAACTAGTGTGCGGGGCAGGAATGCTCATCCTGACTCTCTTTCCGACACAGGCACTGCAAGATTACCTGTGGGTCCTTGCAAGGGAGAGGATTTGTCCTCCCTGCTATCAGCTAGAGGATGCTGAGTGCCATACAAAGACTGAACCTCACAGCTGAACGGATCACAGGGGGACCCTGCAGATTTAGGTGGCTCCACCATCACGCCCTTTGGAGAGATGTTTGACTGTGCATGTCACTGCTTCTGTCTCCTCTTGGAAGTTCAACTATGGATTTTCTGGGTGAACATCGATCCCCCTGCTGACATTAGCCAGTGTGGTATGTGGTCTCTGTCATGTACATCACCACCTAGTTCTAGGTGGTGATAAGATAATTTGCAAATGCTCAGGCACGATGTGTTGGAAGTGGCAGTTCTAACAGTAGCCCCTAGCTCCAGCAGTGACGATGTTTCCAGAGGTCCTCATTCACTTCTGGGTTTGCATCCTGAACTTGGCAGCCCGGACATTTCCACATAAAGTGGGACGAGAACGCTGACATTGGGACACCTGCCACCACAGGTACCCAGGGCACAAAAGGCACTGGGGATGTCAGCTGGCTAACAGCCGGCTCCTACCATGTGTGTCCAGGTGCCTGCTAAAGTTTGGGCTGAAGATGGGGTCTGTCCATTGCTTCTGCATGCTGGTAGTAGAAGACTGCTCTAGAAACACACTTTTCTCTTGAAAGACATCAACTCTGTGATCTACTCCTAGTCTGTTCCTGGGCTGCCAATACCCTTTTTCTAGTCTGCCCATGTTGTTTATAACACTAAGTTTCTTCAGCATTTCCCTAGAAATAGTGATTGCATAAGTTCCTCAGCTGGGATAAGGTGACCCAGTCAACACTATGGCTGTCTGCATGACACCGGGCTTTTGCTAGCATGGCAGGAAAATGCATTGGAAAGGGACAATGACGACAGCTGAAAATCTCTTATATCTCCCCAGACTTGGGTGCTTTGGCTGCTCGAGCCTTGTTCTAGCACATTCCTTCAGCTCCCCAGTGTGGCTGTCCCCTGAACTGGACCCCTGTAACTTACATGAAGATGGTGTCTCTGGTTCTTCAGACTGGGAGGAAGAGGAAGGAGAAGTTATATTCTCTGGCTGGCATTTGTCATCCTGCTTTCTCCCCATCAATTGTTGACATGCTGCATCCTTTGAGCCGGAGCCTGGTAAGTCATTATAGCCACATCCGTCAACAATTTCAAAATTTAAAGAACACGGTGTCTCTGCTTGCGTTGCCTTGGAGAACATCCCTGAAAGGCACTGCACAGCGTTAGCTTTTCACACACTTGGCCATCTTCATGAAACTAAGCGTATCTCGTTATGCTGAGCCAGCTGGATCTGTGTGAAAGTTCAGATGAGAGATAAAGATTGTTCTTTGGGAGGCAGAAGGCTGCAGTCTGTCAGGTTAGGCATTTCTTAGGGAAGGCTTTGGCTGTAGCCCAGAGCAAGAGGGACCAGATCTGCCGTGACAACTTCACACTCCTGAGCAGGAGCACCTGAATCCAGGGACCTCACGGCTATGGAAGGTGTAGGAGACACGTCTAGTACCTCTAGCTCTTCCTATGATCCTCCACCTGTCCTGCAGCACTGTGATTAATGGGCTTCCCATCAGGAGAGGAGGCAGTGCAGGCTGGTTGGCTGGCTGGCCAGTTGGCTGGTTGGCCAGCTGACTGGGGAGTGTGTGGGTTGCAGTTGGTCAGGAGGCTCCTGCTGATGTTTCTTGCCTACCTGAGGAGGAGGAGAAGGATGAACATGCGGCACAAGGAGCCACTTTTGGGCTTTCTGAGCCAGATCTATGGTTCTGCAAGCTGCCTTCAAAATGTGGGGCTGACCTAAATAGCCAGGGAGGTGAAGGGTGTGAGGAAAGCAATGTTACCATGGGCTCTCTCTTGTTATCAGATGAGGTCACAGAGAGAGTTTGGACAGATCTGCCATGATGCTTGGGATTAACCTTGAAGTTAGGTTCGAATGGTGTATGCTATAAGAGACCCCATTCCCCATCTCCAATGCATCATGGGCTCTGCCCCAGAGCTGTCCTTCCTCCAGGATTTTTTTCCTCTCAACCAGCTCTAAAATGGCCTTTAGGCTCTTTCAGAGACCCCCCTCTAGGAAACAGCCCATAAAAAGCTAGCCTCTTATCTGGCCTTGCCTGTGACTATGGAGGGAGGAGAAGGGGAGCTCCACGGGGCTGAGGACATTGGAAGGTGGGATTACTACTGTGGGTCCCTCATGTGCAGACCTGCAGCACGCTTATAAATCCAGCAATGTCATGTGGTTGGGTGCCTTTCAAGGTCCACGTAAGGAAAACAGGAAGAGTTGGGGTTTGAGCCTTTGGTCAGCGCCAGTGGAGCTGTTTTGGGGTGTTCTGTGGCATCCTTCAGCAATCACTTACAAAATAACTCAGAAATCCCTCAAGACCCACAAGTGGAGGGGCCAGACTGGTGGAGTTGCTGACATGGCCTCAGATGAAACTTTTTCAACAACATAGAAATTCTCACTGGTGACAAAGTCCCTGAACAATGGGCTTGACAATGGGTTACAGAACAGTGTGGATTTTTACCCATCTGGCTCCCTGATAGTTATTTAATAACCAGGAACAACTGTCAAGCATGGAGCCAAGGGGATATGGGTTGTCTTGAAGGTCAAGTGAGATGTCAAACATTGAGCTGATGGGGAGGGAACATAGGGGACAGAGTGGCTAAACCCATTTTTTGGGGGATTTGGAACAAGAATGTGAGCTTGGGTGATGGCAAAGGTGGGTGCCTGATCCAGACTCTGCATTTTCTGTTTCACTGGTGGAGGGGAGAAAAATGCCTTTCCCACGTATTTCACAGATTTCATGGTAAGAGGGGCCATGAACATTTGGTCTGACACTCTTTAGCACAGCCTGGGGAAGATAACTTAGGGATTTTTGCAGGAGAAGAAACCATGGAAGTTAAAAAGGGAAAGTGAAGTGGCCACAGAGCTGCAAGTGGAGAAAAGTGAAAGGGAACAGCACTGGTCTGGTCATTTTAAGGGATTGGGACAAGGCCAGAAACAGTCTGCTTAGCGCCAGGAGAAGCGTCCCAACTGAAGTACGGAGCCTCTGAAAGAAG